TCGGTTGAATCGAGAGACGGGTCAACGAATACGCTTCGGTACACATCCACGAAACGCGTACCACGAGGATTGAAAAGCTCCGGATTACGCTGGCACGGGAAGTACGTGGTGTTGTACGGGTGCTGATGCGGGGCATTCATCCATCCAGTACGCCAGGGCTGACGAGCGTCGAGAGCCGGAACTTCGGAAAGACAGTCAGATGTCCGAGGTGCGAACGACAAGTTTTCGATGGGGTACCACGGCTTCGACGGCTCCAAAAGCAGTTCGGGACGAATGAATGGCACGCTGGAAGCACTAGAGAAAACCGAGTCACGACTCCACGCCATGTACTGCTCACGGTACTTGTTACGAAGACGATCGGCACGACGGTCGCGCTCACTGAAGAGCTTCTTCAACACAGCTCTCAGTTCCTTCAAGTGTTCCTTGTCATGGCCAACCTTTTTAGCTTTTTTAGCGAGACCTCGTTCAATACCAGCTAATGGAAGCCAGTGGAGACGCTCCCACAATGCGAACCCGAGGTCACCTTGCTTACCACCGTCACCCCGAAGGCTCGCCCAGATCATCTTGAGACGGGTCTCAATCGGAGCACGCTTGGAGATGGGGACGCTTGGTTTGAAGTCAACAGTGTCAAAGAGACAAGCTTGAAGAGGATAAAGCTGCCGAAGTTGCTGGTACGGGTGATCAGGATGCGAATAATCAAAGAACGCTTGGAGACCCTCCAACGTTGTACGCACGGTCACCTCACCAGCTGGTTCAGGAAGCGTTAAGCTCAAGAGTCGCTCGAAACACTTCTTGGCGCCTGCATCGGTAAACTCCATGTCCACATACGGAAGAACCCACGGTGGCAGGGTGGACGAAGCCGGCACCATAGGGCGAATACCAGATAACACTCGGTGAGGCAACGGCTCAACCGACGGTGCACCACCACGACGCGGCACCGAAGTGTAGGTTGCCGTATTCATGCGTCCAGGTCCAGCATCGAGAGTCCAAATAGGCGGACGAGGAGACACTGGAACAGGAAGAGAAGATGCTGGTGCCGGAGGACTTGCTGGTGGCGAAGGAGGCGGGCCGCCAACGATGATTGGGGAAGTCATCATCGGCGAAGGATTTGGCCGAGGCGGAGTCGGAGGACGAGCTGGGCCAAGATTACTCCAGTTCCTGTTTGAATCTTCAACATCTTCGTCATCGAGTATGCTTGAATGATCGGTGGGGGGCGGAACATCACCGCTACCACTGGGAACATCAGGAGAGTCATCCACCGAAGATTCATTGTCATCCACGTCATCTCCATAGTCGTCATTAGCATTCCCATCGTCATCAATCTCCATCGAAAGGCCAGGCGAAGACACGCTTGGTACATCAGTCGTGGGAACAGTCGGAGCCGACTTCGAAGACGCGGAAGCTAGTGGAGCAGCCTCAACAGGGGCAGACCCTGCTGTAGAAACCACTCCCGAGACTTCAACTGCCTTGGATGTCGCGGCAGACGCCGAAGCAGACTTGCCTTGTGAAACAGTCTGGTTTGACTCTTCATCTTCGTCACTCGAGCCAAACATGAGCCGCATTTCCTCGGCCTCGCGCAGGGCCTCTTCAGCAGCACGTATGTCGGCTGGAGAAGGTGAAATCGTTGAATCTGGTGACTTGGCCACATCGTGTGGACCCTGAGGCGGGAGCGAAGGCGCGTCAGGAGAGACAGGAACATCGTCGTGATCCTGAGGGTTCACGTCCTTACCCGAAGGCTCTGTAGCAGTTTCTTGAACCGAACGGACGCTGCCTGGATCAGCAGTCCCCATGTCCACGTCACTCTGGTCGCCGCTGAGGTCGACCACTGCGGGAGTCGAGGAAGACGCTGGTGTAGGAGGTGGCGACCATGAACTTGGAGAAGACGGTACAGACCTGGACCGAGTCTTCATATGACGTCGTGGCGACTTAGCAGGAGAATGAGGACGGGGTTCTTGCGCTTCTTCTGGGCCGCCTTCTTCCACGCCTTCGGACCGAACAGCGATCTACGAGCCGACTTGGGAGTTGAAGTATCGGCAGGTGGCGCATCACCGAGACCGGCAGCTGCCATCGAAGCACTGGGCTTGTCCCGTTGGGGATTGGAGCCTTGTCTTCGTCAGAGTCGTCCGGATTGTCGGCTGAATCCTCGCCACCTGGTCTAAGACGCTTATGGGACTTCCCATGGGCCACTTGGTGAGCTGCTTTGGCCAGAGCTGCCGGAAGGCTTTGAGGATTGTCCGAAGACGCGGTGGCAGACTGAATACGCGGCAGAGCGAACTAACGTCTCCTGATCCAAGTCCAGCCGCATCCAAGTCCAGCTCACCCCGCAGTCAGAGCTATCACGGAGGAATTGTGAACAAACGTTAGTTGCTGGAACACACGTGGAGAGGAGCGACATTAAGAGCGTACCCTTCAGCAGCCAGAACAAAGAACCTCGGGATCCTTCCCTGCCAAGACTCACGAGTGCACTGAGGTACCGATTCCCTTGGAGGAAGAGAGAGTACGGGCTTACTGGTTCTCGAGGACCTTGAGAGAGGCGGGTTTCGAGAAGATTTTCCCCTGGGG